GTTGGTGGTTGTCCTTTTCTAATTAATAAGAATTAAAAACTCTCTAAATGAAATAATTATAATATTATATTCAAGAAAAATTTAAGTGATTTTGAGTTGATTAGTTGACTAATTATTAATTTAAAAATATACCTGAGAGATAAAAATATTTTAATCACACAAGTTTAAGAGTTTCGAGATTTGCTTGCGACTAAGAAGATGGAAATTAAAGAAATTGCTAGATTATTAGAAATTAATTCAATCTAACCTTGAAATGATGTTTACATGTTTATTCTATTTTACTTATGTAATCTTGCTAGATATCAAAAAAGTTTCACATGAGAGCTACAAATATCATTTGAGTCCCTATTAGATATGAGATTGCTTGAGGAAAAGTAATAGGTAAGTTTGGTAGAATTAATACGATGTAAATTTACATAATTTTTCTCCTCTAAATATCATGTTTTCTTCCTTAATGTTAATGATTTACGCTTATGAAAGGTGTTTTTGGTGGGTTTGCATAGATTACAAGAGTTGAATGCATGTTGTAGAGCTAGGGCACAAAGTATACTAGTTGGTGCACTTGCATAATTATGCCACCTTGTGGTGTAATTATGACAAGTTTGTTGTTTAGACAACTTAATTACATTAGGCTTCAGCATAACTACACCGTTTTGTGGCATAATTACACTGAGCTCGAGCATAGCTATGTTGAAACTTAGCCAAACCCGATTTATCAAGATGTTTCATGGTGTTTTTAGCAAGAGTTATATATGAAGATACTAGGTGATGATCAGGGCGCGCTAAAGCATATTAGAGGTTGTTTCTCTTTAGGTTTTAGTATTCATTGTCAAATTAAAGTTTCTTCAATGGATTTTCTTGGGGAAGATTCAAGGTTATTTCCTATAATTGAAGAGGTTGTGAGGAAAGATTAAGTGCAATTATATGAAGGGGATTTTAAGGAAAGAATCATGGTGTATTGTAAGGAGCGGTTGATTTGGGTTTGAGTTTTTGATACTTCTTGAATTATTTTTTTTTTATCCTTCAATAATAATTTTTGTGCGTTACTTTCTCAATAATTTTTGTTAGTCTCATTTTCATACTTCTATGATGTAAGACGTGATTTTCTTCTTATTTTATCAGAAAAATTTTGTTCCCTCAACATTTTTTCTTTGCTTGGATTTTCATTTTTGATTTACTAATTTTATTGTCTTAATTTACTTCTAATCTGACTTGATAGAAAGTTAAAATCAATTATAATTAAGGACTGCTAACTGTCACCTAGAAGAATAAGTAAGTTAACACACGAAAACATAATAGAATAGATATATTACTTTTAGAAAATTGCAACCTAGATAAGGGACTAGAGGATTCCTAAGAAACGTTGCATAGTTAAGCCTCCACAACTATAATAATTTTCAATAATAGCATGGGTTTCACAGAAATATATTGAGAAAACACGTGATTGGTTTCACGGGAGTATGGCCATTTCACCTTTGAAAACTTCAATAAAAGCTATTTTAGTTCTTTTTTTCTATAAGAATTTTAGAACTTTCATATCTGCAAATTGCACATTCATACTAGACTTAACGGTTTAGTTAACTAGAATTTTCCATGTTAAAAATATTTTGATAAATTTTCTGGTGAGATCGATACACAAACTCATAATCCATATATGTCTTGATTGACATGTTTTCTTGCATGATTGATCCACCTAGCTCATAATAGATTTAAGGCATCAAACCTTGCCACAAATTTTTGAAATAACTCAATAGAATCCTTGTGCAAAGTGCATGTGATTTTTTCTATGACATTTGTGACTCAATAATTTTTTTTTCAAAAAACCATCTGGAAAATGGCTAATGATATTATCATCCTAACCAACATACAAGAAAATCATTAAAGGGCAACATTGTTTGGTGTGGTAAGGAACAACCTAGACTTAAGTTATTCTTATGTATGTTATAGAAGCACTTTATTCAAAGCATGTAATAAAATATTCCATGATAGTTTGGCCTTTATAGTGTTTAGGTGACAGATTAGAAATTTGGTCAACAACTTTTTATCGGCATTCAGCCCACCAAAAAAAATTAAGAGCTATAATCTCTTCTTTGTCTTTGCCCCTCCAGACATCAAGGTTTTAGTGTAAACTCTCCATCATCTATGTTGGGTATTAAGTTTTATTTAGAAATAGTAATACACTGGTCAATATAATTCTTCAAATTGGAATGCCAGTAAATTCTTCTAGTAATTGAACTTTGAGCACCATTCTTGAGATATACTCCATGACCCCTTAGATCATCCTACTAATCATTTCTCCTTTTTTTCTAGCATTGGATTTTAATGAAGTCTTAATTATCCAAATTCTCTAAAACTTCTCTTAGACTTATATTTATGTGTTTCTTCAGTCATTAGCATGCTCCATGCACACAACACCTAAAAGAATGTTAGATCATATTTTATCTTTGAATTTTTCCAGTCTTACCAAAGCAATGGAAAAAGGAATGTGAACATAGATAAAAAAATAAGGGAAATAGATGAAAATCTACCATAATCATATAAGTGCTAGAAAAAACTATGGAAATTGTGAAACCACCCCTCTCCCTATGATCCCTTATTTAGAGAAAGGGATTTAAAGTCTCGAGAACTATCAAAAAGCTACACAATGAGTTGTTATGTAATTAATATTGGATAATGTAAAAAATGGAGTTCAATTGCCTTGATAACATATTTAACCTTCAACTTGTACTTAATCATCGAATATAGAAGAGCAGTTTGGCTCTTAATAAAATTTGCTGAGTAGCTTATAAGTTCAATACACATGGTGATAGCCTTAAGTAAGTTTTTTGCAAGTTTAGTGGATTTATTATCTAAAGTTGGAAGGTATGTCCATTTTGTCCTTGGTAGGTTGGCGCTTTAAACCTGACCAGGGAGTCCTAAAACTAACTTGGCAAGTTCATCTCAAGCTCCACTAGTGAGTCTCACAAAACCGAAATGCTGAGTCCATCTCTTTGTTTTGTTTTTTTGCAAGTTTTCACTTGAGGTGTATACCAGATTCTCTACTGAAATGTCCTCTATGTCTAAGGTGATATAACAATATAGCATAATGTTTGATTTCATGTCCAACATTACAGACAAAATTCATATATTCATAATAACCTTGGCCAATTCTAATAACCCTTCATGGCAATATGCACATAATGAACTAACAAATAAAATTCCATCAGGAAATAATCCATCGCTTGTCAAGCTTCTAAGGAGTTTAAAACTTCCAAAACATTATCCTGAGCTATTAAAGCTAAAAATATTACATTTCAAGATACTGCATTCTTCTTTTTAATAAACGTAAATAAACTTGAAGAAACATCATTACATTCCCATTAAAATCATTTTTTGTAAGTTGTAAATAATTTTTAAGGAATGAGGTAATGTTTAGACATGTGTGGTTAATACTAAAAATTTTGAGTATTATGATACCAATAAAACCAATTGATTCTTTGATACCTGTGTAATTTTAAGCAAACTATTAAATACATATAGTATAATAAATATTAAATGTGACGATCATTCTTAGCGTGCATCATTAACCATGCAAATGATCATGACCAGCAATTACTAGATCAATATCATAAATATTAAACAAAATAACTTTCAATTGCATCTAACATCCTACAAGAAACATAGTAACAATGAAATACAATTCATGTTTCATAAGTAAAAAGTTATTGCTAATAACTGAATAACTTTAAGCATATTAATAGTTTGCAAATTCCAAATGTTTAGTTAAAAGCAAAATATATGCTGCACAAAACCTAGGACAATAAGAAAGGTAGATGAACAATAACGAAATGGAAGAAAAGCATAAATCTTATTATCCAATAAATATATCACTAATCAAACAACATAAACAAACAAAATATCGATGGCTTTCAAGTTTCAACAACAAAATAAAATCAAACGTTCTTCAACCATATTACTTGATTATATTTACATCACAATACAGAATAAGAAAATCATTTTAGGGTGAGTCCAACTCTTACTATTACATTAAGGTGCAAAAGGAAATGATTCCATTCAAATCGAATCTTCTTGAAGCATCTACAAAACTCTAGAGTACGTTTATCATCCAAATTTTTAATCAAATGAAAAAACTTCATTCTTTCAATAAGAATTAAAAAGATCTAGATGCAGGCACATTCTCTTTCTTATCATATCAAACTTTCTTTTAAGACTTTTGCTTAATACTTGCAAGCTTAATACTTGCAAGCTTAATACTTGCAATTTATCAGAAATAGCATCTAAAATATTTATCTTCCTAACTTATTATGAAGCTAACTTTTTCATAAATGCACCATTCTTATACTTCTTTTCATTGAGCAATCCACCTATGTACTTTATTTCACTATTCCTACTTTCTTCTTCAATATATGAAGGAAATTTTATGAATGGATTATTGCAATTGCATCCTCATAAATTTGACAAAAAAACTCGTATATTGGACGTCATTTTTTATTAAAATTTTTTATATATATTTATTGACCAAAATATTGCTAAGCATTATTTCTAGGTATATCTATTGAATATGAGTTTTAAAAATGATGCATTCTTAAATAAATTCCCTATATAACTTGGACCAATTTTTTTTTAATGCACACACTTGACCTATGATAAAATTCTAATGATTAGTTGTTCACCTTTAAAAACTGATGGAGATATGTACATGAACCTAAACTGTATATTTAGCTCTTTGATGTATATCTTCTGGAGAAAGAAATCTACTATAGTGTATTTACACATCAAAGCCCAATTGCTGATTTATGCATGGGAAAATCAAAGACGGAACCACGAATTTAGACAAGTCCGAACCTAAGTAAACATCTCAATCCACAACAAAAATCAAATTGTTATGTCCTATTTATTCTTTCACAGCTTGCTGCACACTATTTTTCACAAAGAAAAAAATAAAATTTAATTATACATTCTTGTCTTGGTCACAAGTAAAAAAAAATGACCAATACATCTTTAACAGTGGACAAAACTTTTATTATTGTATTCGATCAGGTTCAGCCTCAGCGCAGTTATTATAAAAATTGAAAACAGATTAACAACCAAGCGAAAGCACATAATTTTTTTCATTAAGAGACTATACTGCTAATATTTACATAACACAGCAAATACTACACGAAACTATTAGGCATCTTCATAACATGAACGGCAACAGATCTCCATAAATAAATGAACAGTAGAGCAAAGATTACCAGCAAAGCCAATCTCCTCATATGAGCAATCATAACATCAGCCTTCCAAATAGTTGATGGCGAGAAAGAAGAGCTTTTTATTGTTTCATAAAATCTACAATTTAATCTCGGCGTCAGCCTCAGTTTAGCCTTACCTGCATAAAATTAAGAAATAGAAGGCAACTAATCAGAGAATCAAAGTAAAAGAATAACTCTAGCTAGATGCTTTATGAACATTACCATGAATAGACATAGCCCTGAGCTTCACAACATTTTCTTCACCAATAGCTAGTTGTGACTCCATATTCTAAACACCAAAATCATGATTTTTTATTACAAATAAATTCAGCATTAACTATAATTTTTTTTAAAAACATGTGATTCTAACCTTTTTAATTTCCTTCCTCGTACATCGATCACCATTACCATTAGATGATTCTGCTTCCTTCCTTTGTAGTACTCTAGATTTTTTTTTCTGCAATCTTAACCTTCTCTTTGCCTGTCCGTGCATTGCTGGAGTGATATGATTTTGACATTGCTTGTCCGATTCAAATAAAACACTGTTTACTGTAAGATAAGGGCCGTCAACATTGCCAGTAACACTCTCCTGTCCGATTCTGCTACCAGATGCTGCGAAATCATCCTGAAATGATATTGCATCAGAGCTCACTGAGAAACTATCTGCCCCACCTGAGTTGTATGGCTGAAGCATATTTTGACTAGAAAGCAAACCGTACTGTAGTCCGGTTGCTGAGTTTTCATGAGAACAGTTAATATGTGGAAGAGAAATCTGTAAGCTTTGCTTCTCACAAATTCCGCCAGCATAAGCACCTCCCTGAAAATCAAACCAAAATTTGTCATAGGTATTTAGGCAAGAAATCTATATTAGAGGACATATTAACCACCTGCTGTAATGCCAACATGCTGTTATAAACTTCACTGCTCAAAAAAGACTCCCTTGCAAAATCTTGAGAATCTTCTTTCCTGCAGATCGATTGAAACTCCGCTGTAAATTTATGTTGAGCATCATCTTCACCATATTTGTCCTGACGGGCAAGCATTGTGTTCAAGACCTCCTCAATATGGTCTGGTTCATAGCCAATGTTGTACACTGGCCAGTCCGTGTCATTTGGGAAACTTTGATCTACCGTTTGCTCCTCAAATGGGTCACAAAATTGTTCTAAAACATTGATCAAGGGATCAATCTGACTTCCACCAAATAGAAAAACAAGTTACAACATTAAAGTAAATCAATGACTAAATTATGTGAGTTTCAATCTACTATAATTGGTAGTGCATAAATTTCACTCACCGTTGCTCCTGTTGCTTCAGCATTATTGTTAGCTTCATTGAAAGTTGTAAGAGCATTGCAATGACCATCTTCTTGTCCCACTGTTGAATCCCTCAAGCAATCAATTTTCTCAGAAAGCCACTTTAACTTCGTGGCTGATTGCTCCTTGATGGTTTGATTCAAAGATTGTGATGAACGTTCACCACACAGAACAAGTTCAGTAGATGTCTGTTCTAAATTATCCTCTGGTTCTTCTGAAGTAAGCTGTTGTATATCAGCTGGGGATAACTTTGAGTTGGTCTGAGAATAACCGCCATTCACCATTTCATCATCATTAAAATTTAAGCTTTTCTCTTCTGGTTTCTTAAATAAGCGATAAAGCATATAACCACCCTATAAAAATTGGAAAAGATTAGACCCATCACAATAAACACTCTTGCAGTAGATTTACCTTCGAAGAAACAAAAGGAATCCATTATCTACATACTATGAAATGGATATTAACAAATACAAATCTATCCACTAATGCCGCTTACAGGTCAGCATTTTGCATTCCATTTAAAAAGAAGAACTTCATCCAAATTTCTCTTTAACAAAGAGCCAAATATTCATGCCCTCGATAAAAAGAAAAACTGTGGGGGGCGGGGGGGGTGGTGTGGGGAACTTGGTGCTATGAAGAAATTAATATTTGTGATGCCCTCCCAACTTCTTCTGATGAAAATTAACAATACGAAACTTTTTCAAGTTTCATTTTGGGGAAAGTTTCAGTGTCAAATTTTAAATTTAAGGTAGGCATAATTTGATCCTAAAACATTGACAACAACTTCGAAAATCTGTACCAACAAAACAAAAGCTAGCACTCATACCTTTTCAAACAAAGGATAGATGTTAGTTGGATTTTATCACAACTACTCCATCTTCATTAATTTTGGTTCTGATTTGTACCAAATTGGTATCAGAGTAAGGCCTTAGAGAGATAGCAACAAGGAAAGTGGATGTTTTAGAAGAGTGATTGGAATGAGAAGTAGAGCAAATTAAATACAGGATTGAAGAATGGTTCTCAAGGCATTGGATAGATAGCAACAAGGAAAGTTTATGCTTTAGAAGAGTGATTGGAATGAGAAGTAGAAATTAAATACAGAATTGAAGAATGGTTCTCAACCATAGAATGAAGATGATGTTGAAGAGGCCTATTGAGATGCAAACCAAAACCTTAAAATTGAAAGCCCTAACTAAGATTTGACTGGAGAATCCTTGGTCAAATCTAAAGGGAAAGAAATCGGATGAGAGGAACATGAGAAAAAGGCATCCACCGTCAAGGACCTCACCCTAGGGTTGCGGTGGGGGGATTTTCGATTAGGGGGGTTGGGACGAAATAGGGGGAATAAAGGAGCACAATGAAGGAAAGACAGAGGTCGGGATGGGGCATGATTATGATCTAAGGAGAGATTTTCACCCTAGATACATAGGGGAAACAACTAGAGACAAGGGAAATTGTGGTGGAGATACTAGTGTTAAGAAGTTGAAGATGCGGATCTTCGAAGAGGAAGATAAAAATGGTTGGGTTACCGTATGGAGCGATATTTCATGGTAAATGGGTTAAAGGAGAAGTTGAAGCTCATGGTCACAGAGTTATGTTTGGAGGGAAAGAACCTAGAATTATTTCAATGGAGGGAGGTTAGTTATCCAATCCGCTTGTGGGAGAAATTTAAGGATTGTTTGTTGGAATGTTTCAGAGCTTTTCGGGAAGGAAACTTAAATGAACAATTATTTATCTTGACTCAAAAGGGGACCGTCTTGGAGTACAAGGAGAGATTTGAGTTTTTGTCAGGACGGCTGAGAAGAAGTTCTAAAGCAGTAAGGGAGAAATATTTCATGAAGAAACTAAAGCTCGACATACGTGCAACCCTTCGACTATTAAGAGTGCGAGGATTTAGAGAGACAATAGAGCTAGCTCTAATGGTCGAAGACAAGAATCAAATGAAGATGACCAACAGAAGCAGCACCATGGGTGGATTCCACAGAAGTACCTGGACGACCTTGACATCGAGCACCCTAATGGTGTCATTCAAAGGGAGGTATTAAAGGTGAAGAATATGGGAGCCCATCCAAGGGTTAACTTCAAACAGCTCATGGAGGCAGATGGCAAGACAAAAGAACAAAAGGATTATGTTTCCAATGTGATGAGAAGTATGCACCAGGCCATCGGTGCAACACTCACAAGCTCTAGGTCCTTAACTATTTGGGTTGGGGAAGAAGCGGATAGTGAGTGGGAGGAAGACGCAATGGAGGGAAACGAGCAGTTACACCTTGATATAATGATAGTGTCTCCAATGAGATTTACTCCAAATCATAACATGAATGTGAGGGAACAGGTCAAAGAGCAGTCTGTAATGAAGTCGGTGGATAGTAGGGTCACAACTTCACTTCAAATCGGGCTATGAACTAATTGGGTTGAGGCTAGTAGAAACTGAAAGTGGTGGAGAAAAGTCGGAGTATTTGTCGGGGATCAGTGTTAACACTACAAGGCATACAAGTGGTGGAGGACTTCATTATTTTAAATTTGGGAAGTATTTATGTGATTTTGGATATGAAGTAGCTACAAACGATTAGGGAGATATGGGTGGATTGGAAATCCCGGTCTATGAAAATTATAGTAGAAGAGAGGAAGGTAACGTTGAGGGGATGCTAGCTAGTGCAAAAACATGGTCTCACTCAAAACCATGGTCAAGATGATACGAGGAAAAAGGTTTGGCAATTTGGAGTTGCAGAGTCTAGAGGAGATCCCTGGACACAGAGCCAGTAGAGTTCTCTGCATTCGTTTAGGGTTTAGAGAGGTATAGAGGATTTTTTATGGAGGGTGTTGGGACGAAATTGGGGGAATGGGTTATGCAAGGGGTATAGAGGAGCAAGATTAAGGAAAGACAGAGGTCGGGATGGGCTATGATTATGATCTAAGGAGAGATTTTCACCCTAGATACATAGAGGAAACCACCAGAGAGAGGAAATTGTGGTGGAGATACCTGAAAGAACTAATATACTAGTAGCTTTAGTAGCTTGTGTAGCAATTTTCTAACATCTTTCAACAACGTAGTTGGTTACCGCCAACAAGGGAGCACGAGCATGCCATTACATTGAAGGAAGGGGTTCCTCCTATCTGTGTCTAACCATACTGGTATCCCTAGATTTAGAATGATCAAATAGAGAGGTTGATTAGGGAAATGCACGAGGCAAGGATTATCAGGCCCAGTTTAAGCCCTTTTTCCAATCTAGTCTTATTGGTGAAGAAAAAGGATGACAACTGGATATTTTGTGCGGATTATAAGGTTTTGAACAAGGAAACTATACTAGATAAGTTTTCTATTCAGTTGAATGATGGGTTGTTAAATGAGAATTTTAGAGCAATCATCTTCTTGAAGATTGATCTAAAGTCAAGATACCATCAGATCAAGATAAAGCCAACTAATGTGCACAAGACAGCTTTTAGGAATCAAGGACATTATGAGTTTTTGATAATGTCATTAGCCTTACAAACGCCTCGACCATATTTTAGTCTCTCGTAAATAGGGTTTTTATTCTTGCCTCTAAGAAATTCATATTGGTTTTTTTTTTTTTTTTTGCATCAAAATTTACAGTCATAAGGGGCAGAGCGGTTGGGAAAAATTTACAGTCATACGGAGCAGAGCGTATGGAACACTTGAGAACATAACTTGAGACTTTTGAGAGAGCATAAGTTGTATGTAAATCTGAAGAAATACTACTTTGCACAGTCGCAGGTGGAATAACTAGGGCATGTGATGACAAGAGAAAAAGTAGCAGTCAGAGCAAAAGTACCTGTAGACTAGTCCAAAATTGAGGCTATGTTAAATTGGCTTTTGCCTCGAAGCTTGAAAGAGATGAGAGGGTTTCTTAAGTCTCAGTGATTACTACCGAATATTCATGAGAGGGTATTTAATTGCATCGCAACTAAGAGAGCAGCCGAAGAAAGACGATTTCAAGTGGGGGGAAGTAGTGACACAGGCCTTCGAACAACTAAGAGAGCCATGACCAGTGAGCCAGTTTTAGCACTCCTAGATTTTAGTAGGCCATTTGTGGTCAAGACAGATATGTCTTGATATGGATTGAAGATAATGCTCATGAAGCATAACCGGCCTACTGCCAATTTCGGTCAAGTGCTAAATGTTAGGGTGAGGCTCAAGTCCTTATATGAGCGGCAGTTGATGATCATTATCTTGCTTATTCAAAAGTGGTGTCCCTATCTATTGGAACAACACTTAATAGTTAGGATAAATCAGATGAGCTTGAAGTATTTGTCTGAGCAGAGGATGGAAACTAAGAAGCATCAGAGGTGGCTATCTAAGTTACTTGGATATGATTTTAAGATCCAGTATTGCCAAGGACTGAAAAATAAGGCCGTGAATCCACTATCAAATGAGGAGGCCCAATTGACACTCTACTAGATAAAGCTATGAAAGAGGAGCACCATTCACAACCTTTGAAGGAGGAGGAGCCCCAGTATTGTTATAAATTGGGAAGCCTTAAGGTAAAGAGTGAATAGGATGGCAGGCTAACAAAGATCAGGGTGGAGTTGCTACATTGTCTGGACAGTCATCCAGGATATGCATTAATTGGACAATAGATACTATACCAGACACGATTCGTGTTACCGAAGGCATCGAGGCACACCCTCAAATTGTTGTGGGAGTTCCACGACAACACAATTGAGAGGCACTAAACAGTACATAAGACAATCGATTGTTGACAGAGTCATATTAGGTGCGGATGCATAGAGATGTAGAGGACATGGTGGAGACATGAGATGTGTGCCAACGACACAAATATTTAACTATGGCACCATAAGGGTTACTGCACCCCCTAGCTTTACCTGAGAAGGTTTGCAAGCATGTGATAATGGGTTTTATAAAGGGATTGACACGATCAAAGAGATTTACTGTGATATTGGTCGTAGTGGATCACCTGAGCAATACACTATTGTCTCATTCATAACTATGTTGTGGTATGTTTGCTTGATATTCTAGAATCCATTATATTAGACAAGGACAAGATGTTCCTCAACCATTTTTGGAAGGAACTGTTCAGATTATAAGGGACAATCCTAAAGAGGAGTATAACATACATCCCTAGACAAATGGTCAGACGGAGGTGGTCAATAAGAGTGTGGAGATGTACGTATGTTCTTTTATATCATATGTGTCGAAGCTTTGGGCAAGGTGGATTGTCTGTGCTAAGTATTGGTACAACACTTCATACCATGTTGCAACACAAATAGCCCCTTTCAGGCTTTTGTATGGGCGGGATCAACCTCACCTGATAACTATGGGCATAGCACTATACCAATATCTAGTGTAATCCAGTACTTGGAGGAGAGGGAC